TTGTTGTGATCTGCGCTTGTGTCTTCTGGTCCAGTGCTATATACTTGCCTTGCCTTCCCGCAGCGTCTCTGTATAGGTTGAAATTAAGTGTTTTTTCCCATCTACACAGCAACAAATACAGTCAAAGATTTCTGTGTTTCTTGCCTGTTCAAGTCTATTTTTTCGGTGAGCTCATATGCCATTATTCCTACAGTGCATTGTAATTGTAGGTGATTTAATCCACTGTGTAATTGCCAAGTTGAATTCCCTCTTGGGCCCCTCCCTCCCTCTCAGCATCCGCATCCAGCTCTCTCTCCACAACAGCCCGGCGAGTGGGCATGGCCTATACGCACTGCGGCCTCTGGACCATGGGGCTCCGTACTTCACTGTTGTTATGATAGTATTTTATCATCTTTTTAATATCTATCAAATTGATAAATGTCACACGTCACCTCTGGGTGTTTCCATTGAGAGACATGGGCCTGGGAAAGCCATATATGGGTGAAAAAATCTGAAATCAAATAAGAAATAGTTTCAAATGATAATGATTATGATAAGAATGAATGTAGTAACAAGCAAGAAACCATTGGCTATAACTATAGCAATGTGTTTATGGTGTATGTTTCATGGTGTGGACCTTTTGTTGATTTCTTCTGGTTTTATTTTGCTCTATTAGTTTTAGTGTATTTCCCCTTCTGTTTTTCTCCACAATTCTCTCTTCGTTTTCTGCTTCTCTGTCTCTTTTCTCTCTCTTATTGTTCTTATTTGTCTCTACTTTTTTTTTTTTTACTAATGAATTCCTTTACTACACAAATGAAAGTCCAAGGTGAACTAAAAAAAAATAATCTTTAACCTGGAGACAAAGACATTGACGATGGACCAGCAACAGATGGGGAAGAGCAGAGGGACACGGGTCAAACACATTGGGGCGGGGCAGACAACCCACAAGGGAACAGGACAGGAAAAAAACATAAAGATTCAATAGAACTAAGATAGCAAAATAAAACCAGGTACAAATAAATCAACAAAAAGACCCCATGATGTGTAGATTCAGATTCAGTTTATTTGGCATTTGCAGTAAAACCATATTGGAATACATGTGCAAAAGTCCCCAGTGTGAACCAGACAAGTACATAGATAAAAGGTAAAATGTACAAGAATAAAACAAGCTAAAGTAGAAAAAGCTAAAGATAAATAGCTAAAGTACAAGTATAAAACAAGCTAACGTACAAGAACAAAACAAGCTAACGTACAAGAACAAAACAAGCTAACGTACAAGAACAAAACAAACAAAAACAGTTTCTGTACAAGTGCAAGGTCATTAAAGTGCCTCAGATTTTCAGTTTTGAGTTGAATTCATTTAGATATTTATTGACAACAACAACAACAAAACTGCTGCTGGATATGAGCTTTTAAATCTCACATGGGACATAGTTTTATCCATTAATTATTTGAATTTTTTTCTATCTTGTAGGGATCCGGTCATGGGACACCAACCTTATCGACTGCAACCTGGACCAGGAACTCAAGCTGTTTGTCTCTCGGCACTCAGCCCGGTTTTCTGCAGATGTCAGAGGTAACAGAGTACAGAGCAAAGTCACAGATCAATCACGGCCCCGGCCCAAGGAGAGCCCTTCAACTATATTAGAACCATACAGCGGACCACGCACACACTTTTTATTTTTATGGTATAACATCTCCGTCAGCACAGTGCATTATTTATGGCCTCATTTCAGATACACTGGTGGTTTACTGCCTGGTACCTCGAAGGGAGCGGTCTGAGTAAAAAAAGAAAAAAGAGAAGGGTTCCCATATACAGTATAAGCTAAACGTTGCTTCAAGGATTTACAAATATGCAATGTCACTAATAATGAAATGAATGTTAAATGTTTTTATTTTGTATTTGTAATAACCTGAACTGAATTGAACTGAAGGGAGGGCAGATATGATCTCATTGAATAAGCAAGAATTAAGAGTAAGGACCAGATAGTTTTCATTATAGAACACATTTACTATTAACCCTTTATTGCTGGCATGTCAAACTCAGGCCCAAGAGCCAAATCCGGGCCGCGAGACCATTTCTAGTGGGCCCTGAAATGGTTTTCTACGATCATCATTACAGCAGCATCGATGGTAATGGGATAATATGGCATGTTATTCTATAGCCTATTTTCTATGGAAATTTTATCTGTTCTCAAATGTTAACTAACATGAAATTAGGCCGAAGATTTTTAACTTTTTAACATACTGTATTTTTTAAATATTTGGTCCAGTTGTGATTGAATTCAAAGTCATGTCAAATAAAATGAATTTCTCACAATACAAAAATATGTAACAATAAAATAATAATGACAATAAATGCTAATATTTTTTATACTTTTGGCCCCAACCAGCTCCAATGTTTTTACATTTGGCCCTTGGTGGATCACTTAATGAATCACTACATGGTACTTGGAACTGAAATCTACAGGTACCTCTTTGTTGCATCTTTATCGCTTGGTTTTATCAAACTTTTATCAAACTGCATCTCAACCATTTGGTAAAAGCCACCATTAAAAAACTATGTGGTCAAAACATCATAATAATAAAAACACATTATTTTTGTTATTAGTGCAAGCAAAAAACCTCTATATTTTGCATAATAAGGAAAGAAGTCTAGAATCTCCAACTTAAGCAAGAAGCAAGACTTAAGTACAACATCTTCTTGACTTTCGAGATTCAAGGGTTATTTAAACTCAGGAAGAACACGTTGTAATATCATCTAAATTAGTTTCTCTGTTTGTCTTGCTCTCTCTACCTCGCTGCTGTTGCCGTACAACCAGAAGAGGCCCAGTTGATTTGGGACTAATTAGCCGTGTGAGATCCCTGGTGTTTGAACGACTATAAATGGGGTCAGAGGAGCAGCCGCTGAAGAAAACGATCAAGAATGTAAAAATCTGGTTCAGAGAGAAAGACAGCTTCAAAGATAGAAAGTGAATGAGCTATAAAGAAGTGCAGGAAACGGATGTCGTGAAGAAGAGATGATAATAATAATAATAATACATTGTACTTATATGCGTCCTCCATCCATTAGTCTTGTATCTACTGGGACGGAAGGCCTGGTCACATTAACAACGGCTGTATTGATTGTAGGGAGTGTCACAGATGGACATTTGAGACGTCATGTTCATTGGGGATTTGTGTGGTGTCGACCAAAGACAATAAATGCCCTTTATATATATATATATATATATATATATATATATATATATATATATATATATATATATATATATATATATTTAATGAAAGCACTGAAAAGAAAAGGTACATTATGTGTTATTGGTCTGTGGAGTTTTGGCATGAGAAGTTTATGTTGCTTTGAAACCTGCATTTACAGAACAGACATGGCATAACTCATTCAGTATACACAGTTTAAGACGGTTCATCTTGTCATCTTAGTAGAAATAGAAAAAGTGTCTGATAGAAAATGAAATGACGCTTCTGAGGAAAATGAAAGTACACCGTTGAAGGTAATAACATTGTAATTTAATATTGTCTGGTATTAAGTATACATTTTGATGTGATGGATTGTGGATTATATTGGTAGGGCTGGGCGATAAAACGATAACGAATGTATTTATTTAGGTAAAAAAACAAAACACAAAAAAAACAATCAATATATATCGTTATCGAATGATATGAATTACTTATATTGTGATATATATACTTATATCGCCCTATCGCTTATACTATCGGTTATACTATCGGTTATACTATCGGTTATACTATCGGTTATACTATCGGTTATACTATCGGTTATACTATCGGTTATACTATCGGTTATACTATAGGTTATACTATCGGTTATACTATAGGTTATACTATAGGTTATACTATAGGTTATACTATCGGTTATACTATAGGTTATACTATCGGTTATACTATCGGTTATACTATAGGTTATACTTTTTGAAGTTGGACTCATAGGGTGTAATAATTTAGTGTTATTGGGGCCTAAATTACTCGTATATTTGACTTTCTTCCAGGCGTATTTGTTTGAACGTCATCTGGCCACGTGATTTCTCTACTTGTCAGAACAAAGATCATTTGTGAATATAATATCTCATGGAGAGGGCTGCAGTAGATGGACTTTAGCATTGATCTTATTTGGCACCCTAACTGCAATTAAGGTCTGAACATGTCAGCCATGCATCGTGAACTAGTCTATGTTATTGAGGGTTTTATCAAATGTTTAGTCACAACAAGAAATTAGTCTGGGAGAGTGCTCCAGAAATCACAGATTATGTAATGAACTGGTCACTTATCGTTTTTTGATTTTTGGAATTATTCATAAATGAAAATAAATGCATTGGAAAAACAAAAAAATTGTATGAAAATATCAAAGTATCATGTGCGGGGACATAATACAGTTCTGTCCAATTCACTATTTTTGAAAAAAGAGGTGGACATTTGGTGAGTTATACTTCTTAAGAAAGCATAGTTACACACAGCTTGACACACAGCTTTATCTGTCGATGAAGCCAAATCAGACAGATCAGCTGGAAAAGCTCAGTGCCTGCATAAAGGACCTTAAAATGTGGATGACTCTTAACTTCCTACTTCTCAACCCGGAGAAGACAGAAGTGATCCTACTCGGTCCGAAGCGCCTGCGTGACTCCCTCACTAACCAGATGGTTACTCTCGATAATGTCAGTATAATACCCAGTAACACTGTGAGGAATCTTGGAGTCATTTTTGACCAAGAACTCTCCTTCAAGGCTTATATAAGCCAAGCAACCAAAACGGCGTACTTCCACTTACGGAACATCGCTAAAATTAGGAATTTCCTTCCTAAAAGTGACGCGGAAAAACTCATTCACGCGTTTGTCACCTCAAGGCTCGACTACTGTAACGCTTTACTGGCAGCGTGCCCTAAAGCGTCTTTGAAGAGCTTCCAGCTCGTTCAGAATACAGCAGCTAGGATCTTAACAGGTACCAAAAGGAGGGAGCACATAACTCCGGTGTTAAAATCACTCCACTGGCTCCCTGTGGAGTACAGAATAAAGTTTAAAATCCTACTCTTAACATATAAAGCCATAAATGGCTTGGCTCCCTCTTATCTCCAAGACACGTTAGTGTCGTATCAACCAGGTCGAGCGTTGCGCTCACAAAACGCCAGACGTCTGGTGGTCCCTAAGGTCTCAAAGGTCACTGTTGGTGGCAGAGCATTTAGCTACCAAGCTCCTTTACTGTGGAATCAGCTTCCCATTTATGTTAAGGAAGCAGATACGGTCTCCACATTCAAGGCCAGGCTTAAAGCACTTTACTTTAATTTAGCATATAATTAGGTAATATATAATATGTAGTGTATATATTATATATATATGCTGTATTATGTTATATATTATGTTATATATTATTCAATAATGTATTGTGTTATGTTGTATATTATGTTATATATTATGCTGTATGTTATTCTTTATTCAAGGCTAGGTTTAAAACAGTCCTCTTTAGTTTAGCATATGGCTAGGAAGGTAAGACTCGGAGAAGGTTAAACTCCTCAGAGTGTCAGTCAAGCTGCATAGGGAGTCAGTTTGCTGGGAGAAGTATGGTAACTTGAGCACTATCCTCTCCTCCTTCCTACTTTATCTGTTTAGCATTTTTAGGATTCTGACTGTAGTTTGTTCATTGCTATTCACCCGTTGTCCCATTGTCTGTTTCATGGTACGATGACGGGATCTCTGAGCCTGGCCTCCTCCATCTGCACCTGCGGACTTCCCCGCCCGACCCGCCTGGGAGTGCTTTGGTCCTGCACCGGACCTGTCCACGTTCAGCGTCCACTGGTCCACGTTCTGTAGCTAGCTTAGGTCCTAGATCATTAGCCTGTCCGTCCGGAGGAGCGGATCCCTTTCTCATATGGGTCTCCCTCCCTGTGGGTTTCCCTAGTTCTCCTCCAAGGTTTCTCACTTTTTCCCACTGGGTTTTTTAAGAGTTTTTCCTTGTCGATGCAGGAGGGTCTTGTTGGACAGTTAGTGTCCAACAGAAAGGATTGGTGATGATCAGGACACTTTAGCATTCTACAACATGTATGGACATTTTCTTCTGTGTGTGCTTTATATTCTTCATGTGTTTTAACTTTTGATTCTCTGACCTGTGTTGGTGATTTCAATGGTTTTGTTAAGTCCTCTGAGATGACTTCTGTTGTGACCTAGGGCTATACAAGAATAAATTGTATTGTATTGTATTGTAGTTACAAAATATTGGAGATATAGGTTCTTTGTTATACAGTCAAAATATGGTTAATCTGGGACAAAATTCCTTAAAAAATTGTGAAAATATACCTCACTAAAGATCTGCCTCTTTTTGTCCCATGGTCAACACAATGGAAAACAACATAAACTTTTATGTGTCCAATCTTGAGGTATAATCGTCATTTTTTGTTACATGTACTTGTAAAAAAGCTGGAAACTCCTTAGTGTATTGCTGCATCGTTCATTAACTCTTTCTTGTTTGGATTCAGGTCAGAGAATCCTTCACCACAAAAGCAATGTCCTGGAAACAGTGGTGCTCATCAACCCTTCAGATGAAGCCGTCAGCACAGAGGTGAATCACTTCTTTACTCGCTAGATTCAAACCACTTAATCTACTTAAATCATACTTTAGTACGGAGACCAAGAGCTGAGAACAATTCAATTTAATTTATTTTTGTATAGTCGTAAACACAGTAGGATGTTATCTCAGACTACGCCGACTTGTTTTAACTAACGCACAGAGAGGCGATCGTTAACTAGCAAAAAGTTAGATATTTTACGATAATAATAAACATGAAAATATTAATTCACACTCAATCATACACCCCGCTTTGGCCTGCTGTGCGAACAACCTGGTGGACTGTAACTTATAAATCTTATTTATAACTTCACTTTTACTACTAATTAAATGCACACTAGCGCTGCCTTGTGACGAAACAGAAAACTGACTTTACAACAGATCAGAGAATCAAACAGGACTCAGGAAATGCAATGATAACAAACACATTGGTGCAAATGGTGCATTGGGTACTGTAGTGGGCAAAACAATATCTGTAAATGTTGATAAATGTGCATAAATGCCCCTAAATGTCCTAAATATCATCACTGTCCTTAGACCCTCCTGCGTCGGCAAAAAGCCCCATGGGAAAATAATGTGAGAAACCGCAGGAAGGCCCATATTGAGAGAGATACTGAAATCTAAATTACAGCTTGATTATAGGAATCTTGAGTTGTCTGTAGTGTTTTCAAGCAAATGTACTGTAGTATTTTAGTGCACAACTAATAATAAAATGTGAAATGTCTTCTTCCGTTCTTCAGGTTCGTCTGATGGTTTCAGATACCTCTCGAAACAAGCTCCTTATTCTTTCGGGACAGTGTACTGAAAACACCGGAGAGCTTATTCTTCAGACTGGATCCTTCTCTTTTTACAACTTCATTGACATTTTCACTGACCAGGAAGTAAGCGGATATTTATAGTAGTTGCCCTTTTCTTTGTATGGATCGAAACCTTTGAAGTACTCAGAACTTCTTTCTTTCTTTTCTAGATTGGCGAGCTCCTCAGCACGATCCACCCAGCGAACAAAGCAAACCTGACGCTTTCTTGTCCAGATCAAGGGGACTGGAAAAACTCAAACCTGGACAAACACAATCTACAGGACTTTATCAACATGAAATTAAATTCTGTGAGGATACTTCCAGAAATGGAGGGTCTCTCAGAGTTCACAGAATATTTATTTGAATCTGTTGAAATCCCAGCTCCCTTTGACTTGCTAGAGCCACCAACATCAGGTGGTTTTCTCAAGCTCTCCAAGCCATGTTGCTACATATTCCCTGGAGGTCGAGGTGACTCAGCTCTTTTTGCGGTAAATGGCTTTAACATGCTCATCAATGGCGGCTCAGCCAGAAAATCTTGTTTTTGGAAACTGGTGAGGCATCTAGACAGGGTTGACTCCATTCTCTTGACTCATATTGGAGATGATAACCTCCCAGGAATCAACAGCATGCTGCAGAGAAAAATGGCAGAGCTTGAAGAAGAACAGTCCCAAGGATCCACAGCAAACAGCGACTGGACAAACAACATGATTTCTCCAGATATTGGCGTCGTGTTTCTGAATCTGCCCGAGAACTTGAACAATGTCCAACCAAACTCCAGAATGCGCAGGACATTTGATGAAATTGCAGTGACACAGCAATTACTTACAAAACTTAATCTAAGAGTCGAGTCTTTACAAAGACCGGTTGGAAATGTCATTGAGCCAATCATACTATTCCAAAAGATGGGAGTTGGAAAGCTCGAGATGTATGTTTTGAATCCGGCTAAAAACAGCAAGGAGATGCAACACTTCATGAAACACTGGAAAGGCACCGAAAAGGACACCGCATCTATTCTCCTACCAAACGGGAAAGAATCAGAGTACCCAATTTCATATTTGACATCAATTTCATCTCTTATTGTCTGGCACCCGGCAAATCCTTCTGATAAGGTTGTCCGGGTTCTCTTCCCTGGGAATGCCACCCAACAACACATCATGGAAGGTCTAGAAAAGCTGAAGCATTTAGATTTTCTAAAGCAATCAATTGTGACCCAAAAAGGAATGGCTTCTAATGTTCTCCCAACACCGTCGCTTAAGCAAACCAAAATGAAGCAAAGGGCAGACAGCAAGGAGAGTTTAAAGTCCAGTGCAAAACCTTCACCGGTTAAGACAGCAAGAAAAGAGTCAAGAGAGGAAACTCCTGAAAAACACAAAACAGAGTCAGCCCATGACAAAACACAAATGGTTGAAAAAAGAAATAAGGTTATGGTTAAGAAAGAAAAAGTAAAGAGTGTTGAAAAAGAACCAAAGGCGAAGGTTGAATCACCAGCAAAAAGTGACACTCCTGAAAAGAAGAAATCTGAGGTCAAATCTAAAATGGAGAAAGTCGCAAAGAAGGATCCTAAAAAGGCACTGGAACATAAGAAAGAGGCAAAGAAGGAAGCAATTAAAAAGGACGATACACCAAAACCAGTTAAGAAAATCATTAAAAAGGATGCCAAAAAAGACTTATCAGCGAGCGAGGACAAGAAAGAGCAGAAGAAAGATATTAAGAAGCCCTCAAAAGAAGCAAAAAAGAATGTAGTTGAGGGGAAGAACGTTGTAGCGCCCAAACCAAAACCACTGAAAAAGGAGACTGGGGCACAATCCAAACTGAAGGAAAAAGTCAAATTAAAGGCGTCAAAGAAGGAGTCCAGCACAACAAGCAGCAAAGCAGAGGATATTTCACCAACAATCACTGAAGATCCCGAAGTGGAGAGGTCGCTGATGTCCACACCCGAAGACCTAACTAAAGACTTTGAGCAACTCAGGGCAGAGCTGCTCGCCGAAGACGAAGCAACAGTTCACGGAAACCAAATAGAAGAGGTGATGCCAAAAGAGAGTGCAATACAGACCAAAGAGTCGCCAGAAGTATTGGAAAGTGTGGCTGAGGGTGTCACGTCAACTAACTTTGAAGCAGATTCTGGCATGTCTCAGGAAGAAGAAATGATTAAAGGCAGAACCAGTGAAAAGATTGAAAATACGGAAACAGTTGTGGAAGAGACATCTGAAGTAGACTTTGATGAGAAAGAAAACATAGAAGATGTTTGTGAACCACAGAAAGAGGAATCAAACAACCAACAGTCCATTTCTCCAGATGAAGACACTATTGAACTAAAAGATAAATGTGAAACTACTGAAGCCTGTGATGATGTGACTAATACAAATGTAGAGACAGTGTCTGTACAGGTAGAACAACCATCACCACTGATTTCGCAAAAGGTTTCTTCACCAATTTCCCCAGCGGCATCTATCATCGATGAAATGATCCCATTCGGATGTGACAAGTCCTGTTCTGACGATGAAGACAGAGATGAACAGCCAGAAGATCTCACTGTTGCTTCAATTCTTACTCAGTCTACAATCGAGATCTCCAGTGTGCCTACTCCTCTTGATGAAATGTCAACTCCCAAAGAAATGATGAGTGATGAAACTGCTAATGACTCACCCACTCTAGAGGTTGCAAACCTAGAATCCTCACAATTTAAAGAGGCCGCCGAACAAACAGTCTCACCGCTACATAGTGAGCATGAATGTAATCAATCCCGCACTGAAGCTACAGAAGGACATGATTATAATGTTTCTGCTGCAACATTATCCCCTTGCTCATTATTTGAAGATGATAAATGTATAACCGATTCTGAAAATGTAGCCAATGGCTTTATCTCAGTGAAAATGTCCCATGGTCAAGATAACGATGGATCAGATGGAGGCCATTCCCCTGTATCCCCGTTCATACGATCCCCCTCAGTGGAAAGCAGGAAACAAGAAATGGAAAGTCCTTCAAATGTTGCTGCTCCAATAGAACTGTCAACAACATTGACAAAAACATGTCAAGAAGACAAACATGTAGATGGAGCAACCTCTCCTCAATCCTCTGGCCACACGCCTTACCATCAATCTCCAATTGATGAGAATGTAGACATTCATCCACTAGGTGGGGAAGAGTGCGAAATGCAGGGTCCTGTTATTGTGGAGGTAACTGGTGATGATTCATCTAACAAAACTGCTGTAGAACCTGATGAACCACAGGAAATACAGTCGACAACTCAGCATCTTCAATCAAAAGATATGGACACAGCACCAGGTCTCACTGAACAGAAGAAAAATGGAGAATATCCCTCATGTGCAAATTCTTCAATAATAAATCAAAATGAAACAGACAATAATAGTTTTACACCATTCAAAGAAGAATGTAAAATGTCTATATCAGAAGGGACCACTTCAGATAAGTCAGGAACTCCGTTGGAGGAAGTGGTGGCAGAAGATATGTTCTCTCATTTGGCTTCAGCCTCCACAGCTTCATTAGCCACGAGCTCCCTCCCAGAGGCCACTACTGACTCACCTTCACTTCATGCAGAAGTTGGCTCTCCACATTCAACAGAAGTGGACGACTCACTCTCAGTCTCTGTGGTTCAAACACCAACAACTTTTCATGAAAGTGAAGGTTCTGCAAATAAAGAAGATAGTCCGAGACCAATGTCTATTTCTCCAGACACTTCACCAAAGACCAAAGATCAAACACAAATGGATATCAGATCATTAGAGCATTCAACCATGTCTGTTGAGTTTGGCCAGGAGTCACCAGACCATTCTCTTGCTTTGGACTTCAGTAAGTCTCCGGAGCACACTTCATTTGGAAGTGTCTTACAGGCCACAGAGAATGGCCCTACTGAGATTGACTACAGTCCATCAGAAAAAAAAGATTTCAACCCACCAATGGAGAAACCATTGTTTTTTGAAGAATGTGATGTCCATGCAGCCTCTGCTACACCTTCAGATGCCTCTCAGTCAACCCCTTCGATCGCAACCCCTTGTCATTTCACTGATTTGTCGCAAGATGTAGCTGCAAAGATAGATAGTTCTATTAATGCACCACAGACAGTGAATATATCAAATGAGTCGCCTTCATTGTTGAAAGATCCATTAGCTGAAGACAACCTCAACCTCGGATTAACCTCTGCAGAAATAGACAGTCAAAATCAAGATAAATGCCCCACACCCTCAAATGCTTCTTCTTTATCTCTATTAGAGAGTAGCAAGGTAGAAAATATTTCACCTTTGAAAGAGCTGGAAAGGTCCATACAAAAACATCCTTCTCCCACAAGTCTTCCTCTTAATTTAGATCATACCATATCCAATGTTCCTTGTGGCTCGAGGGACCCAGCTACCAATAAGCAAAGTCCTCATGGTGCATCTAAAACAGATGTTGACCTCTGCTTGGTCTCACCGTGTGAATACCGCCATCCAAAGACAGATCTTTCCCCATCTTTCATAAATCCCAATCCTCTGGAATATTTCATTAGTGAAGAAAGTGCCATAGATGAAGAAAAGCCTCTGGCTAAATCTGGAGGTGGTTCTCGACCCCCGGGAGGAAAGTTGTCTTCCAAACAGTGTGAGGATACCCCACCCACATCCCTCAGCGAATCCGCCCCCTCTCAGACTGATTCAGATGTACCTCCTGGAACAGAAGAGTGTCCCTCAATCACTGCAGATGCAAACATAGACTCAGAGGATGACTCAGAAACACTGCCCACTGACAGGACCCTCACCTACAAACATGTAGACCCTCCTCCAGTGGTACCCAAGGACACAGCTCCGTCTCCTGGCCATCATGATGTGTGCATGGTAGATCCAGAAGAAAATGCAAACCCAGATAGTGAAAAGTCCAAAAAGAAAAAGCTCACCAAAAAAGCAACACCAGCGGTTAAGCCAGCAACTCAAAAAGCCAAGGACACAAAGACTGTTCTGCACAAGAAAAGTGTAGGTGAAGGAAAAGATGTAAAAAATGCAACAAACACTTCTGCTTCAAGAGGTGTAAAGAGTGAAACTGGTGAGTTCATATTTTATTATTATTTATTTTGTTTAAAATAAGTAAATAAACTTATGGACTTTTTTACAGGAAAGGGATCCAATGGGACAGCTCTGCTCAACTGTCCGCCCATGTACATGGATTTGGTATACATCCCTAATCATTGTAGTGCCAAGAATGTAAATGCTGAATTCTTCAAGAGTGTGCGATCTTCATACTACGTCATCAGTGGAAACAATCAGACTGCTCAGGAGCCCAGCAAAGCCGTCTTAGACGCTCTGCTCGAGGGAAAATCGCATTGGGAACACAATATGCAGGTATGCTGTCTGTCGAATAATACTGTGGAGATGTTTCAAGTATTAAATATATTTACTTCAAAATATCACTTTGATTCCAGGTGACCCTGATACCAACACATGACACTGACGTCCTGAGGGAGTGGTATCAGGAAACCCACGACAAACAGCAGGAGCTGAACATCATGGTTCTGGCCAGCAGCAGCACTGTCGTCATGCAAGACGAGTCTTTTCCAGCGTGTAAGATAGAAATGTAGGGCTTTTCTGAATGTCAAAGAACAGGTGGTACATTCAAGTATGACTGAACTAAAAACATTTAAACATTAATCATCACATTAGAATTCTAAATTCATACAGCAAATCAATTGATGCCTTTATTGCCAATTCTCTAATCACAAAACCTCAATTTTCATAAAAACTGTAGTAGGTAAAAAAAATCTCAATCACTCCACAAGACATGTAGTTATTTTGGGTGTATGTGTTTCTGCGCTGAACAAGGTTTGTGAATGTCAAGGCCATATTTATTTATTTATTTATTTAAAACTGTTTATTTTTTTATTGTTATTTATGTATTTATTATTATTATTAAATGCATTTGTATTAATTTAATATTAAATGATTGATGGGGATTTTGTATCTGAATGCTTATTGGAGAGACTGATTTAAGATTGTATATTGTTATTTTCTCATCCTTTCCTCAGACTGGTGAGCTACAGCCGGATGTTAAAGACTTATGTTTACCATGTGACATCATTTTATTACCTTGCAATTTAAGAATATCCATTGAGACTGCCAAATGCTGGTTGATCTTGAGAGGCTATTATTGGCCTAGAAACTTATTGACAATTTCATCTTTGGATCTTGCAAATTGCACAAAAGTAATCTACCATCCAATACGATTACATTTGAATGACCACAATCAAAGACTCCTGAGAAAGTAATTCATTCTATAAGACTTCATCAATAACAACAACCTGACAGACTATGAGCAAAGATCTAACCATACTTCATGTTTTACTCACTTTTGTGCACACCTGGATTATCTGTAGCTATTCTTCTGCGTAATCTTCTAGTCCCTAAAAACTCATTCTTAGAGCAATTGTATTTGTTAGCGCTTAATGTGTGTGTTGCAATATTTCCGTACTCAGAAAATCTGTAAAGGTCTCAAAGTAAAAAAGAAACTGTCAAATTACCACAATAAATAAACTCCAAATTATGTTTTGCCAATTCATGTGTTCATTTTATAAATATGTATTGTTGTTTACTGAAGTTTTGTTGTAGGCCTTGAAGAGAATGTGTTTATAATCGTTTACTTGTTTGGGAATTTAATCAAATATTATTTTAATCTTGTTTTTAGATTACATGAGTGAGACCAAAGGAATATCATTTAGTCTAAAGGTCTTAGGTTTCATCCATCTATCACCATTTAATGCCCCCATCCTTGGAAATGATGGATAATGAATATTCTGATCAATATCAACCTTACTAATACATCACATATCTAATGTCTGTACAACTATTGCATTTCTGTTAGATAATCGAATTGTTTTTTTTCAGCTGTATTAAAGTCGTTTTTTAAACTGTGTATTAGGAGTAAACAAACCGAGCACTTGTTTGCCAAATGAAGAAGCTGATTTGAACAAAAGCTAACTGGAATTTTTTTTCTGAAATGGTCATTTGTTTCGACTGCATTAGCTTCTCATATCTGGATTCGTAGTGACAATATCAAAATATAAATAGAAGGATCACAGCAAGCACTAAACCGCAGATTTTTAAAGCCCAAAATGGTAAGGGTGACAAAAATGCTAACTGAGAGGAGTTCTTTTCCGTGTAATTCTATAGGAGCCAGAGCGAGTTGGAGCAAATATAATAAAACCATGGAGCTAAACTTTGTCTATGAGCACTTCCCTAATGGGCTTCTTTGAGCAAATGGATTAGCGGTGTTCATATACAGTCTTTAGGTGGTTACACTGGTTACATTTTTGGTTGGACTTTGGTGTTTTTTAGTTTAAAGAATAGACTGTAAATATTAGAACTCATGAGGAAAGCCATAATTCTTCATGAGCGGATGGGGGAACACTACAATCTATTTTTGTCCAGGAGGCAAATGGGCAAACAGCTGAAGTAGATGTGTCGGTGGCCGCATCCGAATCTATAAACAATACCTCCTTTACCTTTACCGTATCTTCCCTTGTCTGTCGTAAGTGACGACTCATTTCACTAAAGTGGCACGAAACCGTCTTTTAAAAAGTCATACATTTCATTTGACCAAGCTTTGCACTGTATTATATTGTGAGGGAAGGGTAAAGAAGGGCAAAAGGGCAAAGAAGTATCCTCGGATCCAGTGTGTTTACCTTGCTTCGTTACGTGCGCTGACATTTTGGGTCATACCAATTGACAAAGGGGGTGTCTGTATACGATCACTGTAAATTAGCAACTTTTGTTTTTAATCGTCATGTACAGTTCCTTGTCAAATGTTAATTTTTGATACTGATCAGCCCGTGCGTAACACAATTACTTAAAGTTAGTAAAATAATATGAACGTAAACCACTACATTCATTGATAGTGGTTCCGTCCTGCTAGCTACACTGCTAGTATGGCGCTGGGAAGACTTTCTAAATGTGGTCGGTCATTACTTTTTGAACCACATAAAGGGGTACGTTGTGGATTCTTGCTTTCAGACAGGATAAAAAGCTGCGTGCAAGGTACTATAGAAAAAGCATATATAATAAACAATGTTAAATGCCCCTTGTCTTCAGACACACTGCAGTGGCTGTGCATCTTTATTATTATTGTGTGTTATTTTAATTTAGCCAAGCGACATCTCTTGACAGAAGACGTGATCAAACTACAAGATTTTCAGCAAAAAAAGTTGGCAGTGGCTCATCTTGCAACGAGATCAGAAGGTCAGTACTAACCAATTACAGCCGAAGTACCTCACTTGTCATTTTGTCTAACCCTGTAGAAATTTAAAGTAACATTTACTGCAACAATGCAGTATTCAGCTTTTTTTGTCCTGTGCAGAGAGCTGATTGACTGAGTCCTCTTTTTCACACCAAAAAATAGCTGACGTAGAGAATGTCAATTTAGGGACTAGTTTATTACAGGGATTAATTTATTACATAGTCTATTTTTTCCTATGGTTTCAAAATTAGGTACCCCAGCTTTGACCAATGTAACCTGTCTACCCTGAAAGTTATTGAAGTGTTGGGTTTTTTTCTGCAGGAAATTTCATTGCACTCTTTAATCAAAAATTGGAGAGAAGAGAACTGATACTGCGGGATGATTTAAAACTTCTGCTGCACTTATGCCAGTCGTCTGATGATATGATTGTGGCCAGAGATGCCATTTACAGGTTAGTGACCAAGACACGTATGTATGTATATGGTTACTGTTTTAGAATATGATATGTTTATACATTTGTTTTAGTCAATTTTTATGTCACATTGATGAGTACACAGACCCCAGAATAGCAACTGTTTGTTTCTTGTATCTATGGGGATCTACATAAAAACAAATGGTACGAATGTATGTGTGAGTTTATACATATACATATTTATCTGTGTTGTAATTATTATCCTATACCTGCGCTATTGCACTAGTTGCGTGATGCTAAACTGCATTTTTTTGCAGTGTTCTGACTTTGTAATGACAATAAAGTTGAATCTATACTAATCTAATCACATTTCTTCTGTTTTCACATAGGTACCATTCAGAAAACCCAAACTTTGCCCATGGAGAGTTCCGGTTTGGCCCTCTCTTCATGAGATTGTGTTATGAGTTGGGTTTGGAAGAATTGGCTGCAGCAACAATTAAAGACAAAGTAGTTGATTTAGCTCTTTCCATTTACCAGTAAGTCCAAACTCATGCCTGCTAAGAGATATTTTTGTCTCAACACAGGAAATGAAAGGTTTCTTCAATGACGCTACATCCTTCAACATTGCTATAGACATGTTATTTACAAAAGGGGCGTTTGAAAGTAAGACAAATAATGACTAATCATTTGTGATATAATTTCTGTCTCTAATTTCTGTTGTTTTTGCAGATGCTCTCGAAGTACTCAGAACAATGCAAACCTATGACATACATTTTAACAACGACACACTGATACTAGCATTTGGAACGTGTTACAAACTGGTAAGAAGCGCTTCATTTTTATCGTCACAAGAATAGACATTTCATGTTTTGTTTCATTGTGTCAGTGCTTATTTATTTATTCATTTTCAGAATACGCCAGAGTCCTACAAGATATGCACTGTTATAGTAGAAAAAGTCCAAAGTAAAGGGCACACAATTCCCAGAAAGGCTTACTTCTTTGCCATAGCTCTGGCGCTTAAACAGGTATGGTCTAAATGTTGTCTAAACACTGAGATACATTCACAGTGGTCCCTCACTTTAACACCTTTCACTTTTCGCTTCTCGCTGTTTGCCTGAAGCTTTTGTGTGCAATACGTTTTTGCATACTTTTTGTTTTTGTTTTTTTTACAGGGGGTTTTTCATATACTTGGGTAACATAATATAACCGCTAGTATAACACATAGATTGTGACATGACATTTACCTTTATTTAGGGCCAGTGGAAATCATTTGTTGCCTGTGATTAGTTCAGATGACTCTCTTTGGTCTCTGTCTCACTCTCTGGTCTCTCTCTGGTCTGTATCTCTCTTGTCTCTCTCTCTCTGGCCTCTCTTTCTTGTCTCTCTATCTCTAGTCTCTCTCTCTGGTCTCGCTCTCTCTCTCTGGTGTCTCTCTCTCTCTGGTCTCCCTTCAGAGGTCTACCACGGTCTTCCCATAGCCCCCAGTCCTGCTCTTGCCCCTCAGTGTCCTCTGCAGCTGTATTTTACAGTGTATGCACGGCTTTTGACAGCTGCAGCAGCGCTCAGACCTACAACAAACACATTATATATCTCTGCGATCGCACTTCAGCAGTCGTGAGTTCAGGTGGTGAGAGGTTTTACAGCCTTAAAACATACAGATGCTACTGTGTATAGTTTGCTTATTCCGGGTTATGTTCAGAACGCAACCCCCACAATAGACGAGGGACCACCGTATACTTGAAATTAATACTTATATAATTTTGAAATGCACTCCCCAGAATGACATCGACATGGCACAGTCTTTCTATTCCCAAATAATGAATACAGAAGGAAGATTGTGTAAAAATTTGAAGGCAAGTTCAGATAATCAACATCTACACATGAAGTGAATATGAATGACCATAAATATCACGTTTGTTTTGTTATTTAGATCCTTATACTATTAAAATCAGGGGACATGGAAAAACTTACCTCAACTCTATATGCTGCTACTTTGCACAAAACTCCTGCATTTATTAAAAAGCCAGAATATACTCAGGAAGTGGTACGTATGAAGTGATAAGTAGCCTATTTTAAAGCATGGATAGTCTTCATGTGTTTTGTTTTTTACAGGTGGATATAGTGCGATCGCAATGTGAAGCCGAACCCTATAAGACAGAAATCAGCCAGATTGTGTCTCAGCTTGAAAAGTCCGGTCAGGTGATCCAACAAACCCTGGACGAACTCCTGTGCCACACTCCTGCAGCCAAGAAGAAACAGTGGCCGATGATGCAGGAGAACCGAAGGAACACAAGTCGACGGACTCTTGCGCCGCTTAACTCTGCTCTGATCTCTGACTGAAAAAATAAATTATACGTTTGTAAAGATAGAGTTCAAAGTCATGTTTTTATTGTGTCTTTTTTAAATGCATGATTCTCACCAGCACCAGAGTCTCACCAGCTCTACCGGCATAAAGCTGGGGTACCCTTTTGTTCCAACTGAGTCTTTTAAAAGGATATATTTCTTGTAAATCAATCAAATTATCAAAAATGTTGTTTGTTTAACATACTTTAAAAGCGTCAATAGCTTTAAAACACACCAGTGTCTCACATCATACAGTCAATAAAAGTTTTACTGCAAATCTGAAGAAAAAATCTTTCATTTTTTATCTGTTCTCACAGGCTCTATAAGTAAGAAAGAGCCTGTGAGTCACTGTTTGATCTATCCTGCTGCCCCGCAACCCCGGCGAAGGATAAAGGGCAAGAAAATTGTATATTATTGCATTATACATGCAAATCCTATAATATTCAGTTTACGTTTTACACTCAGAGTTTTGGAATTCATATAAAATAAAAATAGTCAATAACTTTGCGTTCAGACAAGATATATATATATTTTTTAACAGTACAATCTTTACAATACGTAAACATGATTAAGTAAACAACACACATAGATGGATAGCATAACAACAAAAAGGTAAAGGGGACGGAACATGCACAGTAAATAAGTACAGTACGTGTATTAATTAATTCCGTTTTGGAACCGTTTTTTTATTTAAACATTTTAATTTGACACGCTTATGCGCATGTAAACAAACACGACGCAGCGCGAGGCTCCTCCCCCTACGTCTCTCCCGTCAGAAAGACTGGGAGGACCAGTGCTGCTAACACCAAACAACAGCGCTATTATTGCATTTTAGCAACAGAAAACATAGATAACGTCACTTTTGTCTATATTTTTATGAGCTAAGAATTTTTAAAAACAAATCTTTTTTTTTCTTTTTTTTTGCCTCGGCTAGCTTCAATTTCATCCACCGGTGACTTCGGAGGTAGCACCAGCGAGAGATTCTTCGGATGCTGCGTTAACATCAAGCCACAAAGACAAAGGAAATACGGGCGAATACTTTAGGATTTCTCTCTGGCATTATCAGGACGGCTGCAGGAGAATAATAGCAGCACCGGGATTCGAACCCAAGCCGAGGCAGCCCACTCCACAACCATTAAACAAACGCAGGCTTTATAACGCGCTTTAGCCACCTAAGCAAAAAAACACACGCACACACACACACAATGAGCGCTGAGGAGACTGGGGCGGCCCCTAAACCTGCTCCTGAGGATGATGGCATGACCTGGTGGTACCGATGGCTCTGCAAAACTGCTGGGGTCCTGGGAGGAATATGTAAGTATACTGTATTAAACCCAGGACTGTTCCATTATTTATTTATTTAAATTGGGGACATGACAATACATGTTAAAAAAAAAGGTAGTATACAATTATAATGTTATCTTTTTCATGCTTTTTACATACATTGAGTTTTCAGTAGCATAGAAGCTGATTTGTAAATGGAAAATGGGGTGGGATTAAATAAGTTCTCTTCTTCCCACTCCCTTTCAGACAATTATTATTCTTATTATATATTTTCTTTTTCATAAGGATGCTTTTTTAAGATAACAGCAACTGTGATGCTCATGTGTTTGCCTGAAATAAATAAACAAGTCAATAAAATACAAAAAATGCCGCTGTTACGATCTTGGGAACGCGTGTTTATAGCGCTCTAATCACTTTATAGAGATTTGCAATGTCCCTTATAATAATAATAAACAATGATTACGGAGCTATACGGGCCTACAGTGGCCTCTTCTCTCCAGGGCACTGACACCAGAGAGCAGAGGCCTGGATCATGTTTGCACAGCGTTGCATATTCAATGAGCTTTGTATTATTAACACAGACTCCCCAGTGTTTGAGACAGTGTGGGTTTATGAGGCATTCTGCTCAGGCACTGGCACTGGCCTCGGTCACATGGTTTTCATATTGTGATTTCAGTACAATTAGATTCACTGCAACAACATGCTCTGACAGATTCTAATGTTGAGTAATTTGTGTTTTCTTTTTCCGTTCACAAACAGCGTGTGCCACTGCAGGAATATGGAACTGTGTCACTATTAACCCTTTAAATATTGCTGCTGGAGTGTGGATGGTGTAAGTCTCTGTTGTTATTTTTATGTAGATTATATACCTGCGTAAGACATTAACACATATATCAATATAACAATGACAAATAACCAGTGCACGGTTCGAAAAGGGATTGGATGGAGCAAAATGAGTTTTTATTTCAACCCCCATCACAGACATGCCACAAACACGCACACTCACACAAGCGCACACACATATATACACACACACACACACACGCTTACATGCACACACACACGCTTACATTCCACACAATACAATGCTATGATATGATGCAGTAGAATTCAAAAACACATGTATGCTCCACAACAGATGGTATTAGACAGACAAAACGCAAATGCAACACACACACACACACAATGCCACACAATAATTCTATGCAGTAGAAACATAACTATACAGTACTTAAAGTAATGCAATACATGACTCTACAACAGATGGTATTAGACAGAACACACACACACACACACACACTACACATGTAGACACACAGGCCCAAACACTCTCTGACCCTACACCTCTCCCCCACACGGCTCCAAACTTGAGGCATTTCTCTCTCTTCAGTACTTCCTCTTTAAACAGTTTTTAAATGTAATCAGGTCGGAGCATGTTTTTAATGAATCTGATAAATCATTTCAAATAGCAGCTCCACGCACTGAGACACACCATCATTTAGGCACACACACTTCAGAGTTTTACAAGCCTAGACTAATTTCAAAGTTTTACATACAGTATGAGTCCTGCAGTTGAAGTTTTCCCTATATGCTCAGTGAGATATCAAAAAGTTGTTTCTGTATCTTTTTTTAATTTTAATGTTACCTTCATTTTACTAGGAAATTCCCATTATGGCCTATTTCTCAAGGGAGTCCTGGACAAAAGTTAGCCAAAGTTTCACACAGTTACATACAATTACAGATTATAAAAACAGTTATGCTTGTCAATGAGTCTTGAACGCATTCAGTGAAATAAATTCAGTTCAATCTGGAGAGACTTCAGAAGACGAAATGCATTTTGAATGTTTTTATTGAAAGGTAGTTTGGCGCCCAAGGCCCCGGTGCGGCGTTTAGTCAGCGAGGCTCCTGAGTGAGTGCACGCACAATCCCCCGGGACCAGGGCACTGGTGGTGGCATTCGGGCAGCAGGAAAGAGGCATGCTTGAGGCAGGGTGAGAAAAGGAGGAGGAGGGGAGACGGTGGTTTGCAAGGCTTCGAGAAGGCCGTAAAGTGGGAGTTTCTCCACTTTTAAGCTGCTGGCTTGACCAGCGTAGTTGGTTGGAAATGGGCGTTTGCTGTGCGATAGGCTGAGGATGCGAGGCCGGCCTGGGAGGGGTGGCTTTAGCCGTCAGTCTTCCAGAGTTGAATTTCCGCGAGGCTGCATTTAACATGTTTTGTTTGTAGCAGTAAATTTGATAGTAAGTAGTTTCTCAAGTAGGGAAGAAATACAGTATATCTGCATTATCAAAAAACTACTACCAGCCTATTCTAAAGTAGCCTGGTCTTACCACACCATCATACCAATTTCACTTTGTACTAATTTTGTACATGTAGGGAAATAAACATTGCCCGGAGTTTACCAATGGCTAAGGCTAGACTAAGGCTAGGCTAATTCTAAAGGCACTTATCTGTTTTTGCAAATAAACTATTCATGTGTATAAAAACAACACAATATACAGTAAGTATAAATGTGTCTCTTGTGCTCTCTTTCAGGCTGACCGCTTGTGTATTGTTTCTGTGTGAGGTCCCTTTCTGTTGCCAGTTTGTAGAGTTTGCTAATGCGATAGCGGCGCGCGCAGACAGACTCAGGCCTTGGCAAAAGGCACTGTTTTATTGTGGGTGAGTCCTGCTTCTGTTTAACTCATTATTACAATCTACGGTTTTATGCTTTGTTTTTTAATAGTGTTGCTCTGATCTGCAGGATGGCGTTGTTCCCAGTAATCTTAAGATTCAACCTTACAACACTGTTTGGGAACGCCATCGCCTTTGCAACAGGAGTTCTCTATGGCCTTGCATCCTTAGGCAAAAAGTAAGATGTATATGAAGCAGATTTGTTTTTGTTTTTCAGAATTTTTGTGAGAAGTGAGGGCACAAACAAGGAAATTGTTTTGGCTCACGGTGCAAAAAGTTAAAAAGTAAACATAGAATGAGGCATGCACACAAATAACAATATCTTCATAACATTTCTCTAAATTACTACTACATACAAGTGCGCTAAGTACACACAATAGACCTTAGCAGTGCCAAGTGACAGTACAGAAACAGTAAAGGGCAGGGGACAGTTATGAGTTATTAACACTGCAAAAAGTGGCTCCAAAAAATAGCTACTATTTGAGGAAATGTACTTTTTTCAAGCTAAATGATCTGCCAGTGGATCATGATTTTTCAACTTGCTTAAATATTGTCAAGAAGAAAAATATCATTTGATCATTGACTGCCATTGACGTATTTGTCTAAGACTGGTGGTTTCTGTCAAGCTTCCCTGTATTCGACTGGGGATTACAGGAGAAAGACAATAGATAGAAAGAAACATATTTTTTGCCGATGAAAGTAGACAATCCAATCTTTCAGAATCTGGTTTTATATTTCACATAGTCATAGCACATCATATTCTGTGGGTCTTCAAAGCCAGTGAAAACATCGAAGACGACAGGCAGTCAACAAGTTAACAAGTGATATTATCTTAACAGTATATAGGAGGATTTCCCCAAATTTCAAGAAAAAAACCGCCCTCTCCACAAAACTCTCTGGTCTTATTTGACGAGCACATATGATTAACAATTGGGAGAACTGCATGAGCAAAAAAGTAAAATAAAACCTGGTGTGATTAGATAAATAAACTAAAATCAATAGCCTATATTTTTTGCAGTGAAGTGAAGAAGAGAGAGGCCTTTTCCCTTGATTTCAATCACATAACACTAAAAAAAATCTTAACAAACTGCCTGTGTAATGCTTTTTAATACTGACATTCTTACTTAAGTCTGCATTCTAACATCCAGTCACTAACCCTCCATTTCCTCCCCACCTTCAGAGGAGACGCTGTGACTTATGCCAGACTTCAGCATCAGAAACAGGGAGACGAGGAGAAGACGACCAATGGAGCTCCTGAATGAGTCCAAAAAAAAAAACAGTATCATTTTCCCTTGACGTCGTTTTCAGTTCCCTTCTCGCTCTTCGATTTAACTTATTTACACCCGGTTTTTTGCCCATATAACCCTAATTTAATCCAAACCTCTTTTTGTCTCCAACTTGATTCTCACACGGTGGAGCGAGGCATTAGTGAGTGTTGATGCCAGGCCTTTATGGAATCATCTCCGTATGTTAGGTAAAAGGTGATTCTGAATGTATTAAGAACAAACTCATGTTGGATTTGAAAGGGACTTGTGTATAAGTGTTCCCCTGCATGAAGACAGGTGTGTGTCGCGTGGGCGGATACATGGAAAGAGCCCAGGCCTGTCACGATAAAACTATTGATTCATCGTTCAATAACTAAAGCAAGGACCGATACATTTACACTCTGAACAAAATTAGATTTTTTAAACATGCACAAAAATGGGTCAGAAATTTGCTGTTCATTTGTTTCCCCTTAAAGAAGCAGTACGCAAAAAATCTGGCCAAAAGCGGTACTGCACGCTCCCTGACTCAGGTTAGTAAGTAAGTAAGTTTTTATTTATATACCGCCTTTTCACTGCAGATCTGAGTCTCAAAGCGGTTTACAATTGTTAATTTTGGGCATTTGTCTCTCACTCCACACAGAGATGGGAGCGGGGTCGCCAGTACAGGAGGCGCATGCCAGAACTATTGGACATATTTTTAGTGGTAGGGGAAACCGGAGTACCCGGAGGAAACCTACGCAGACACGGGGAGAACATGCAAACTCCACTCAGAAAGGCCCTGGTCCGACCGGGATTCGAACCCAGGACCTTCTTGCTGAGAGGCGAGAGTGCTATCCACTCAGCCACCGTGCCGCCCAGGTTGCCAGATATGCAGACATAACAGTTGAACAGACAAGAGTTTTGTCAACAACAAATCTGTAACCAACACTTCACAAAAGCCCTGATATTAATCCTCGTTAATTAATTATTTGAGAATCATAACGAGACCTTTTTGAGTTCTGGGGGCCACATGTTACTTTACCAGTGTGATTAGCTTGACGCGGTGAGTTTATTAACGCCTTTTGACAGATTAGGGCCATTTAATGATGACTTAACATGACAATCTCACATTTATATATATTTAAGACTTTTAATTATCCATAATTTTGGGATTTTCACCCGTGACACAAAATCCTTTCAATATTAGCATTTATCTCAATAAAACTGTATCAATGAATTGTCCAATCAAATCGTGTTATCGAGACAGGCCTGTGCACTAGCGAGGGCAGTAAACTATATCACACCTGTACAAGGAAAAATACCTTTTTTGTGCAAAATGGTTTCTCCTGGTGACATTTAAGCAGACTGTCACTGTGTGTGTGTGTGTGTGTGTATACCATGATTTGCCTTTGTCACATGCAGCTGACAGGAGTGGTGCGAAGTCATTGATTGTGTTGTTGTGTTGCCTGGCCTTTGTTGTTGTGTGTCGCCTGTTTTCCTGATGTCTATGTTTACACGACTCTTTTACCTTTTTCAAATACTGTAAAAAATCTCAAAACTGTTACCACCAGCTCTCAGGTACACACCATAACACTAATGTCGGTTTAAGGGACCGCAATTTCAGCCGTTCTGAGCCTTTGTCGATTGTACAAATGTTTTAGTGATTTAACGCGACAGACCCACAGGTAATTGGAATTCTCTGGTATATATTTGTTTTTACTGCAGTGACATCTTGTATTCATTCAGATTCGGGCGACAGTGCTGGGGTTATCGATGTTACTTTTTGTGTATTGTGTTTTGTCGACGATTTGTGAAGTGATCCGGACCTTGCTTTAACTTTGTGAATTAAACTTGCGGCTATTATGTGTTTGTGATTTTCTATTTTTCCTCCTCTGTTTATCAGTGACTCTTTATTCATCAAAGCAAGCAATGAACTTTTTTATATTTAAGGCAAGGCAAGTTCATTATCGTAGCACAATTCTTACATACAGTAGTTAGGATTCCCTAAAGTTTTACATACAAAGAGAGGAAGAGTTAAAATGCTAAAGAGAGCCAGGAAGTACGATCACATTACACATTAACGAGCACATTAATGCAGCTAAAATTACGAATAGTTTTCCTGAAAATGTGAGACAGTCAGTTCAAATCCAAGTGAAAAAAGTCCTGTTTAGCTGTGCATACAACTGAAGGATTGTATTCTCTTTGATGTACTGTGATGTTAAAGTTTCTTGTTTTGCTATCCATCAGGACAGAGATATTTAGTCCAAAGAAAAAACCAAGACATTTAAGAAAGTGGGTGTGTTTCACAGTGTGTTTCACAGTGTGTTTCACAGCATTTCACAGTTCTTTCAAGAAGAACGCACCTGCAGGAGGATCAGTGAGGGGCTGGTGCTCTGTGCACTGGGTGCACCTCTGACTGCCACCCCCGACCCAGAAATGGATTAAGGGGAAGAAAATGGATGGATTTAAGAATTGTTGTATCTTTGCTGCTATTGTTTTAATGAACAAAAGTATAAAAACAATTTCACACGTTTTAAATATCATCCATGTCCCACAGAAGATTGGAGAAAACTTACAAATACTACATATTTAATTACCGTGTTTTCTTTATTAGATCCGTGTGTGCGCGTGCGTGTGTATGCGTGTGTGTGAGTGTGGTGTGTGTGCGCGTGTGCGTGTGTGTGTGCGCGTGTGCGTGTGTGTGTGTGTGTACCATAGACTGTATTGTGTATACATGGATCCAGCTCTCTCCAACTGCTGGACATTTATCTACGGGTGCAAATAACGAAGCCTGAACCTGAAATGGAACAATATACATTTAGAACAGTTCATTCCAACTCAAATAATGTCTGTGGTCTCAAGTTTCATCACCTCCAATCATTCTACCACGTGTTCTGTCTCCGTGTGTTTATCACAGCAACCAGCAGGGGGCGCATCAACACTGGGCTCAGATTGGTCTCAGAGACATGTCTAATCTTTAGCTGTTTATTCAGAATCAGAATTATGTTTATGGTCATTGTAAGTAACAGGAAGTTACAAACTAGGTATATGTCTATGGGTACAAACAGGTATAAGAGTAAAGTAAATATAGTTTTAAGATTTGCATAGAAAATCTGAATAAAAAGTCTTAAAACAACTACAAATGTGACACAATAGACAACAACAGTGCAGTAAAGAGACAGTAGTCCTTATCTAATGGCACCTTTCTATTGTGAACAAAAACAACAATCACGAATTCATGTTGGTAAATCATATTGGAAAAGTCTGTATTTAATTACGTGGCACATATTCGTGCCACGTAAATTATGTCGAATTTAAGAATCATAGACCTAAGCTGTTAAAGGAAATTGGCCACTGTAGACATTCTGCGCATATATCAAAGCAAGGAGAGCATTTCTTTACCCCCCTCTCAACCCTATTCTATTCTCAGACTCATGCCTCTTGCTTTGTAACTGAGTATAATCACGTATGAAATTGCAGCCTCCCGGGGGACGTGCGCTGGGTCGTGGAGACGTGGGCTCTCACGCGGTTGCATCATGATGGGAACTTTTCTCCAATAGGAGCAGCAGAGGCGGTCGGGAGGGTCTGTCTGTCTGCGCTGGGGGGGGGGGGGGGGGTAGGAACAAGAATTACACCGCCTGGGATCTAAACTCACCCACCACCCGCCCGCGGAGCACCAGAAGGACATCACCTGCTGAGGACGAGGACGCACCACAACAACAAAAATACACACTTTTTTCTCTCAACTCTCAACGCGTTTGATCTTGAGGCAAATATTGGGGCAAATATTGAGGCTTTTGGTGTTGGAGATTTCCCACATTTGAGGACGGGACGCTTCTGAAACAAGAAACAATGCGCTGTGATTCAGAGGAGCTGTGCCAACCGGACCTGGCGCATTCGAACGCGCGTAAACGTGCCATTACTGGATTGCTGTTTTGTTAATTTAGAAAGAAAACAAAGAAAGAAAGACGCTATTTTTGCAATTCTCAATATCCTTTTCATAACGATGCCTGCGAGGAATAGTTACAACCTGGTGGACGATCTGGCGGACTCCAGGATCCCACTGCACAACGAGGAGGCTTATCAACATGGGATACACTTCCAAGCCAAGGTGAGATCAAGGATCCTCAGACAACACACGGACTGCGAGGGTGAGGCAGGTGCATGAAAGCAACTGGCTCCAAGAAAAGTCAAGTTTACAAGTGTCAGATACAAGATTAGTTCATGCTGTGTTTATTTTATATACACAGGAAGACTTCTATTTCATATGTTGCTTCGCCCTTTAGGCTTCGCTAATGCATATCTCTCGGAAGCATCGCTTCCCGCCCTGAGAAGATCAAACGATCCACCCTCCAATCACCTTCACGTCCTGGCGTAGGCCAGTCCCCTATAAATAGGGCCATGCACCACAGCTCTTCTCCTTTCTCTCTCAGCTTGCCTAAGAGAAGCTTCGATTCATTTGCTAGGATGTCTTCAAGCAAGATCCCCGCGCCTGAGAACTTGCCACCCTCCGGTGTCAGGCTGCGGATCTGCGACTTGTGCCCAGCGGCACTCTCCCAGACTGACCGCCACGAGTCCAGCGTCTTCTGCCTGGGCTGGCGTCGTGCCGCGGGAGAAAGCCCCAGATGTGTGGCTTGTCTCGCCGTGGATTATTTATGCCGTATAGAGTGGTGCCCTTGGTGGCATCGCGCATGGTGTGCTACCCTCTATCCACGCTGAACAGACGTATAGCTAATACACCACAGATGGTTGTCCTAGCTTAACACATCACTTTGCTCGCTTCATCCCTGGAGTGGTGCCCATGGTGGCTCGCTCATGGGGTGCTACGTTCTGCTCACGCTGGACAGGCGTAATACTACTGCACCACAGATGGTTGCTTAATAACATCACTCTCGGTGCCCATGGTGGCTCGCTCAGGGTGTGCCTCTGCTTCACTAAATCAGCCGCGAGGGGATAGGCCCATGACAGCCCATTCCCCGGCGCTAGCGTATGGAGTATACGCGGGTACGGAGGCCTGGCCTTGGCGGTCAGGCTTTCCTCTCATAGAGGATGGAGTACGCCTGTACACCAGCTTCCTACGGGGTCTGGACTGCCACCCCCCCCCGAGCGGGGCAAGCCGGCCGTGTCCATGCTTGACAGGTGTTAGGCTTGTGCATCATAGGTCGTTGCTATGGCTTATAACATTACTCTCCTCGCTGCATCCCTCGGACAGGGACCGCTCTGCCACCCCGCACCGCTCAGAGCCAAGAGGAGGCAGCAAGCGCGTGACAAGCAGAGGAGCAGCAGCCACCCCGGCTTTGCAGCTGCAAGGAGGGGAGGGAAACGCTTTAATAAAGGCCATCATCAGGCCCGTTACTCCCTCAAAGAGAACACTTCTTTCCCCTTTTCCTTATCCTCAGCGCTTGGCCAACGCTGCTCATCTGCCAAGTGCCTGGAGCCTCTCTCAGCGCGCCTCTCGTGCGCGCGCTGGAGGCATGCTCCGGGACCGCTGTGCGCTCCCCGTGCCTTTGCCTCTCTTGGGCAGAGAGTGCGCGGCTGCACGCTACCCTCCTACGCTCTCTGTGCGCCACGAGCGCCAGCTCACAGCTGTCCTGCCCTCACGCTGCTACCCGGTAAAGCCAGGGCCGCAGCTAGGGCTCAGACCTTTTTCCAGCGGCCCCCCACTATCCAGAGCAATGAGTGGTACTGCTCTCCCCCCCCCCTCCTCAGTCCACAGTGTTGGGGGGCGGGGGCTCGGCTCCACGTAAGCGCAGCACACCTGCCCTCACGTGGCCACCCAGAAAAAGGGCCCAGGGCCGCAGCTAGGGCCCAGCCCTCTTCCCAGGGCCCCCTCACTGCAAAAAGTGGGACTGCTCGGCCCCCTATCACTCCACAGTGTTGGGGAGCGGGGGCTCGGCTCCACGCGGCCACCCGGAGAAGGGCCCTGGGCCGCAGCTAGGGCCCAGCCCTCTTCCCTGGGCCCCCCCCCCACTGCAAAAAGTGGGACTGCTCGGCCCCCTCTCAGTCCACAGTGTTGTGGAGCGGGGGCTCGGCTTCACGTAAGCGCAGCACACCTGCCCTCACGCGGCCACCTGGAAAAAGGCCCAGGGCCGCAGCTAGGGCCAAGCCCTCTTCCCAGGGGCCCCCCACTGTAATAAGTGGGACTGCTCGGCCCCCTCTCAGTCCACAGGGTTGTGGAGCGGGGGCTCGGCTTCACGTAAGCGCAGCACACCTGCCCTCACGCGGCCACCTGGAAAAAGGCCCAGGGCCGCAGCTAGGGCCCAGCCCTCTTCCCAGGGGCCTCCCACTGCAATAAGCGGGGCTGCTCGGCCCCCTCTTAGTCCACAGTGTTGGGGAGCAGGGGCTCGGCTCCACGTAAGCGCAGAACACCCGCCCTCACGCGGCCACCCAGAGAAAGGCCCAGGGCCGTAGCTAGGGCTCAGGCCTTTTTCCCACGGGCCCCCCACTATCCGATGCCTCCCCAGGATGGGACATCTGTGGGCGGACCAGGCCTTTCTCCCTCCTCCCATCTTGCTGTGCTTCCCTTGACCCATGTTGTCACCGTATCGGAACAGTCGGGGCTCCGGGGAACTCTGTGGATACACAGAGTGCTGAGTCGGGGCTATGCTCTCCAGTTCTCCTGGCGGCCCCCTCCTTTCTGCGGCATTCTCCAGACAGGGCTAGGCAGCCCGGAGAACGCCGTGGCGCTTCACAGGGAGGTCAACACGCTTCTGCAGCGCCGGGCGGTAGTGGAGGTAGACCCGCTCAAGGCAGGGACAGGGTTTTACTCTCCATACTTCATTGTTCCCAAAAAGAGCGGGGGGGTGCGGGCCATTCTGGACCTGCGCGTCCTCAACGGCTGCATAGCCAAGCGACCGTTTCGCATGCTCACAGTCAAACAGCTGCTGCTGAGCATCAGGCCCGGGGACTGGATGTCCTCCGTGGACCTCAGAGACGCGTATTTCCACATACCCATTGCTCTGGGGCACAGGAAGTTCCTCCGGTTTTCTGTGGGGGGGGGGGGGGTGCTTCGAGTATTGCCGTCTCCCGTTCGGCTACTCCCTAGCCCCCCGCACCTTCTCCAAGTGTGTGGAGGCGGCGCTGGAACCCCTTCGGCGTCAGGGCCTCAGGATACTGACGTATATCGACGACTGGCTGATCCTGGCCTCCTCTCGGGAGGAGGCGCAGGATCACACGTCCAGAGTGATGAACCACGTTGCCCGCCTAGGGTTTGTGATCAATGTGGACAAAAGCTCCCTGTGCCCGGCCCAGGAGATTTCGTATCTGGGGCTGGTCTTGAATTCCAGGAGCATGACGGCTTCACTCTCGCCAAGCGGCGGTTCAAAACTTGGGCCGGGTCGTTCTGGGCGAACCTCGGGTCCAACCGCGGCAGATCCGGTCACTCTTGGGCATGATGGCAGCGGCCCATCCAGTGGTGAGACTGGGGTTGCTGCACATGCGATATCTCCAGAGGTGGTTCTCACACCTCAGGGGTTTATCACGGAGGGAGCGACTGTCGGAGAGGGCTCGGAACGACGTCGCCTTCTGGCTGTCCCCAGGTCGACTCCAGGAGGGAGTTCGAATGGGTCTGGTGGACCACCACATCGAGGTCTTCACGGACGCCTCACTGAGCGGTTGGGGAGGCGTGCTCGGCCACCACTCGGCAGGAGGCGTTTGGTCCTCCCCCTTGGGGCACATCAACCTCCTGGAGTTGGAGGCGGTGCGGTTAGTGCTGGCCCATTTTGTGACCAGACTGGAGGCCCAACAGGTGATTATTCGGACGGACAACACCACTGTGGCAGCTTACCTGAACAGGCAGGGGGGGACCAGGTCCCCCGCCCTTCACAGGCTGGCAGTGGAGGTTCTTCTGTGGGCGGACGTTCACCTAGCCTCTCTGAGGGCCCGTCACATCCCAGGCGAGCGCAACGTGGCCGCCGACAGGAGGTCCAGGGGCGGGGCCTTGCGGGACGAGTGGGGTCTCGCCCCAGCGGTCGTGGCGGAGGTCTGGCTCCGGTTCGGAACACCGGTGGCCGACCTTTTCGCAAATGCAGAGAACGCACAGTGCCCACTCTGGTTCTTGCTCAGGTCCAGCGACGAGCCCCCTCTCGGGGTGGACGCCATGGCGCACAGGTCGTGGCCCAACGGTCTCCTCTACGCCTTCCCGCCTCTCCGGCTCTTGGCAGCCCTGCTTTACAGGGTAAAGAGGGAGGGGGTCTCCATCCTGGTGGTGGCGCCGGACAGCCCGGGAGCCAGGTGGTATCCGGACCTGGTGAGCATGGCGCTCGGTCCGCCTTGGCCCATTCCGGACCGTCCCGATGCTCTGAGACAGGCAGGGGGAGCCCTTTACTCACGCCCTGTCCTGGGACACAGGCTCATGGTTTGGAGGCTGAAAGGGGGAAACTGTTGAGCCTTGGTCTCCCTCCCTCAGTGGTCGCTACTATTCAGGGTGGGAGGGCTACATCCACCACCAAAGCGTATGAGGTTCGCTGGAAACTCTTCGCCTCTTGGTGCGTGGACAGAGGCCTGGACCCCACCTCGTGTTCCATCCAGGAGGTCTTGGCTTTTCTCCAGTTTTTGCTGGAGAAGGGAAGGGCGGCCGCCACTCTGGGTGTGTTCGCGGCGGCCATTACCACAAGGCACGTGGGGTTTGGTAGCCACTCTGCGCGTAGCCACCCCTTGGTGAAGCGTTTTCTCCGAGGGGCCCGCAGGATCAGACCTCCCCTCCGGCGGTCGGCTCCGTCTTGGGACCTTCAGGTGGTCTTAGCTGGTCTGTCGGGGCCTCCATTTGAACCCCTGGACAATGCGACCATTGCCTGTTTGTCCTACAAAACGGCATTGTTGTTGGCGTTGGCTTCGGCCAAGAGGTCTGGGGATCTGTGCGCCCTTTCCATGCAGCCGTCTTGCTTGTCCCTCCCCGATCGGGAGGGCATGATGGAGTTGTGGCCTAACCCGGCATTCCAGCCCAAGGTCGTCACATCATCTTTCAGATCTAGGGTGATCAGGGTGAGATCGTTTTTCCCTCCTCCGCATGCTTCGGAGGAGGAAGAGCGGCGTCATAGTCTCTGCCCGATCAGGGCTGTGAGATGCTATTTGGACCGCACGTCTGACCTCAGACGGTCGAATCAGTTGTTTGTCGGGGTTTGGCACCAGGAGTCAGGGTGCTGCTTTGTCTCCACAGCGCTTGGCCCACTGGCTTTGCCTTGCTATTCGTTTGGCGTATGAAGCTCAGGGCTTGCCGCCTCCGGCCCAGTTGAGGGCTCACTCCACTCGCGGGGTTGCCGCTTCGGTGGCTTTGTTCCGTGGCACTTCGGTGGAGGAGATCTGCAGAGCGGCGTCTTGGTCCTCCTCCTCGACCTTTGTGCAGTTTTACCTACTAGATGTGGCCTCTGACTCTGTGGCTCATTCGGTTTTGAGTGCAGGGCGGCCCTAGTTCCTCCTTCGTCTAGGGTTAGGTGGAGAGGTGTTGGCGCTCTTGGGAGAGGCGGCCTGGACACCTCTGCAGTAGGGGTAGGCGCTCTTGGGAGAGGCGGCCTAGACCCTTCTGCAGTCTGCTCTACATTCCTGGGGTTCAGGTGCTCTTGGGAGAGGCTGCCTGCCCAGGTTTGTTCTGAATTCTTTCCTGCTTTGCAGGTTGGGGAATGCGCGGGCACTCTTGGGAGAGGTAGCCCTGCATCCCTTTCTCTATGGCTCGTAGGACCTCCGTTTCTACCGCTTGGTTGCGGTATGAGCAGGAGGGTCACGAGTTTGCTCCAATCACCAGAGTTCATGCCTGCTGGGAGTACATTGGTCTGGGCTTCGCTATGTTATGCATTAGCGAAGCCTAAAGGGCGAAGCAACATATGAAATAGAAACCCCAGTTACCTAATGTAACTAAGGTTCTATGAATATGTTGCGAAGCCCTTTAGCTTCGAGCCCAGCAGGCCTGCCCTCTCTTATTCGGCTGAGTTCGAAAGGAGAAGAGCTGTGGTGCATGGCCCTATTTATAGGGGACTGGCCTACGCCAGGACGTGAAGGTGATTGGAGGGTGGATCGTTTGATCTTCTCAGGGCGGGAAGCGATGCTTCCGAGAGATATGCATTAGCGAAGCCTAAAGGGCTTCGCAACATATTCATAGAACCTTAGTTACATTAGGTAACTGGGGTATATAGAACATAGACAATCCTATATACGTCTATCTAAGTCTGTAGGTACTCAAGTGGGATTGTCCTTTAAAATCCCTGAACCCAATATAATTGCCAACGTCTGTCAACAAATTACAGAAACATAACAAGGCTATAGATCAGTTATTAGATTACCTAATGTTTTGTTTATTTTATATACACAGGAAGACATATACACTATAGACAATCCTATAGTACGTCTTTTTAAGTCTATATGTACTCAAGTGGGATTGTCTTTTTAAATCCCTGAACCGTATACATACCAGTGTCTGTCATGAAATTACAGAAACATAACAAAGCTATAGATTAGTTATTAGATTACTTCATGTTGTGTTTATTTTATATACATAGGAAGACATAGGAATCAAGAACAGCCTATAGACAATCCTACACTACGTCTATTTACAGTAAGTCTATAGCTACTCAAGTGGGATTGTCTTTTCAAATCCCTGGACCAAATATACATGCCAGCGTCTGTCATGAAATTACAGAGACATGACAAAGCTATAGATTAGTTCATTCTGTGCTACTTTACGTTATATACATAAAAAGATATAGGCATCATCAATACAATAGCGTCAATAATCTCATACATAGAAATAGATCTATAGCAAGTATAGGGTTGTCTTTGAGACGTTTTGAAAACCCTGGACCAAATATACATGCCACTGCGTTTATCAAGTTACAGAATCATGACAAGGCTATAGATTAGTTATTAGATTGCTTAATATGTGCTTCATTTGTATACATACGTACAAAAGTCTATCTTATCTTATACAAATACAAAAGCATCAACACTATAGCCTCAAAAATGCCCTTTCTTCCCAGGCCTTTTCAAGCCAAACCTTGGTTAATAATAATCTATGTTGTACAAATTCTTTTTTGCTTTCATTCTGTATAATTGTTGCTAAGTGTGTGGGTGTATAGGTCTTGCTGTATGGCACGGAATGTTTTATTTTTTTATTTTCGTACGGCTCAAAATAAAGTAGTCAAATCAAATCCCTTTTACTACATGAATCCAAGTCTGCAGAGCTTCAACTGGGGTCGCCCTTATGACGCTTTGAAACCCACGGAACAAATATGCACGTCTGCGTCTGTCATCAGATCATAGAAAAAGGTCTTGAAAAGGTATTAAATAAGTAATCAGATTAGTTAATGTTGTGTTTATTTTATATGATAACGCCAAACAGCCTCAACAGTCCCAAACTACATATATCTAAGTCAGTGTTCCCCAACCTTTTGAGCCGTGGCACAGCTTTTTCCTTCAAAACTATCTCAAGGGCACACCACCAACTGATACAAACTGAAGGATATGAACGAAGTAAGTTTCATCAAAGTGTATTACAGAGAAAATTGTGCAAACTACAAAAAAGTATCTCTAATCCTCTTATTCTTTCTTTTTTTTCACATTATTTTGACCAAGCGGATGATTTTGGATCATTTCCCAAGGAACGCCGAATAACATCTCAAGGCACACTAACGGTCCCTGGCACACTGGTTGAAAAACACTGATCTAAGTGGTCGTGTAGTCTCAAATTAATTATTCTTTGCACAATACAATAGAAAAATAAAAACATATATATTTACTGTTCCTACCATGGGGGCTGTCATTCAATTATAAAATCATGAAGGAAAGGCAAGTTTATTTGTATGGCAGAGTTCATACACAAGGCATAGACAGTCAAATCTTATATACTGCATTTATAAGAGTAAAGATAAAACCCCTCCTGGAAAAGATATAGATTAGTGATCAGAGTAGTTGATGCTGTGTGTATTTCATGTATATACAAATACATGGGCATCAAGTCTACAGAGCATCGAGTGTTGTTGTCCTTAAGATACTTGGAAACCCCTGGACCAATGATTCCAGCGTCTGTCACCAAATTATAGAATGATGAGGGCGAGTTTATTTGTATAGCAGAGTTCATGCAGAAGGCAACTCAAAGTGCTGAACAAAACAAGATGGAGACAGTCACACAGGACATTAGGATATAGGCACAAATAACCAACGTACATTAGAAATAGAAAAGAGAAAATCCCTCATGAAAAGACTATAGATTAGTTTTATGGATAGAGAGATAGATAGACAGACAGACAGTTAAATAGATAGATAGACAGTAGATAGGCAGACAGACAGACAGTTAGATAGATAGATGGACCTACAGACAGGTAGATAGATAGATAGATAGACATACAGACAGACAGACAGGTAGATAGATAGACGGACAGACAGGTAGATAGATAGATCGATAGACAGACAGGTAGATAGATAGACGGACAGACAGGTAGATAGATAGATCGATAGACAGACAGGTAGATAGATAGACGGACAGACAGGTAGATAGATAGACAGACAGACAGACATACAGACAGACAGGTAGATAGATAGATCGATAGACAGACAGGTAGATAGATAGACGGACAGACAGGCACGGTGGCTGAGTGGATAGCACTCTCGCCTCTCAGCAAGAAGGTCCTGGGTTCGAATCCCGGTCGGACCAGGGCCTTTCTGAGTGGAGTTTGCATGTTCTCCCCGTGTCTGCGTAGGTTTCCTCCGGGTACTCCGGTTTCCCCTACCGCTAAAAATATGTAAAATAGTTCTGGCATGCGCTTCCTGTACTGGCGACCCCGCTCCCATCTCTGTGTGGACAAGTGCCCAAAAAAATAACAATTGTAAACCGCTTTGAGACTCAGCTCTGCAGTGAAAAGGCGGTATATAAATAATTACTTACTTACTTACTACTTACAGGTAGATAGATAGACAGACAGACAGACATACAGACAGACAGGCAGGTAGATAGATAGATAGATAGACAGACAGACAGGTAGATAGATAGACGGACAGACAGGTACATAGACAGACAGACAGACAGACAGACAGGTAGATAGATAGATAGACAGACAGCTAGATAGATAGACGGACAGACAGACAGACAGACAGACAGATAGATAGATAGACAGATAGATAGATAGATAGATAGACAGTAGATAGATTAGTTTGACAGATATAGATAGACAGTTAGAGTGAGATAGAGATAGGTAGATAGATTGATAGTAGATAGGCAGACAGACAGACAGTTAGATAGATGGACCTACAGACAGGTAGATAGGCAGACAGAGAGACAGACAGACAGTTGATGCTGTGTCTAGTTCATATACATCCAGATGCATCAATACTATCGCCTCAATGATCACATGAGTCTAAATGTACGGATATTATTACAAGTTTTTAATGTCATTTTGTGTCTGTCTGTTGTGTTTGTGTGTAACTTTGCTGCCTCTTGGTCAGGACTCCCTTGAAAAAGAGGTTCTTAATCTCAATTTTTCCTGCTTAACTCATTTACTGCCATCGACGTATTTGTCTGAGACTGATGATTTCTGTCAAACATCCCTCTATTCGACTGGAGATTACAGAAGAACAAAACTAGCTAGAAACCAACTTAATTTTGCTCATGAAAGTAGACAATCCAGTCGTTCAAAATCTGGTTTCAGATTTCACCTAGTAATAGCCCTCAATACTCTGCGGGTCTTGAATATCAGTTAAATTGTCCAAAACGGCTGGCAGTCAATGTAAAATAATCAAAAAGTGGGGTTGTCATATAGATACTTTGAAATCCTTGTATGATGCCAGATATGATGCCAGCGTTTGGGATAAAATTACACAATAAGGGAAAGGTCTATGTGTGAGTGGTGTGTGTTTTAACCTGGGTTCATTGTTTGTTGTTACTGACTCTGTGCTTTTGTTATGATTGGAAACAGTATGTGGGGAGTCTGGACGTGCCCAGGCCCAACAGCAGAATGGAAATTGTGGCAGCCATGAGGAGGATAAGGGTAAGGACACACCGGACGCTCGAGTCTGCTCAGATAGAGGTGGGACGTATACAGAAAAACATATACAACACTATACAAGCTGGATTGTTTTGAAGATTTTTCTAGTTCATTGGCAAAAGCAGGTAAGGATCAATACAGGGAAATATGCGACAGGCTTAAAATGTGCCCTTTAACAAGTCTTTTTGAAAAGCCAGATATATTTTAATACTGGATCAAATTGAGATTACAAAACCATGTTGAGGATTAATAGTAACAAGACATCTTTCCAATTATTTGTGTACAGCCCTAAAGACAATAGACAAACACATAGAAGCCATTGGTCCATAGCTGTATGACCAATGTCCATAAATGTTAATAATGTCTATAAATGTCTTTTAATGTTCATCCCCACTGTCCTTAGACCTTCCTGCATAAGAAAGAAAGAGAGGAATACAACTTTTTGACCATTTTAAAAAACATATACATTTCTTTTTCCATGTTAAAGGCATAGTTTATCGTCAGTGATGGCAAAACACACAATTAAAACTAAAGCATGAACTTAGAAATCTTTCAAACATGCAAATACAGAAAGGAATCCCTGTTTTTTTGTGGTTTGGTTTATGTAAAATGCTAATACTGTGCCTTAACCATAGTGTTCTGAAAAATTTTCTTTCATAATTTTGATGCACTGCCACAGAATGAACAGTTTTTTGTCAACATGAGACTAACACATGAGTCCACTGTCACTTTGTCCAGTAGCCTCGTGCCGCTAACATGAACAGATGCAAACATACAACTATATACAGTATTTCTCTAGAATATTCTCTAGAATATCTCTCTCTCTCTCTCTCTCTCGACCAGTATTTATCCTCAGAATCAGTCGCAGCGATACCAAGGCTGCGGTTGTTTTGACACCAAAGCAAAGATGCAAATGATCCTCTGACGTTGGGTCCCGGGATATGAGTCAAATCCGGAGCCAAATCATTCCCATTTACCGTATTTTTTCGCACAATAAGGCGCACCTGATTATAAGGCGCATTATCAATTTACACCTCTATTTTCATATATTTTGAAAAATATGGTATACGTTGAATGTATAATTTTCTGAAGACGTTTATGAAGCTTCGAATCTCAATGAATAACGATCGGACAAGAACGTGACTAGGTTAGATTAGCAGTTGTAAGTAAGTAAGTAAGTAATGTTTATTTGTGTAGTGCATTGTTGTAGCAGTATTAGTCGTCATTGTATTGGAGGATATATAGACTCTTGCCCATTCATCCCCAAACCTTTTTTCAGAACCAGAAGTCTTTTTTTATTGCCATTGTAAGTAAAAAGTAAAAAAAAATAGTAGTTTGTTTTGGCTCTTGGTGTAAACAAATTATTAAAAAAGTAAAATATAGATAAAAAAAAAAAAAAAGATGCATAAAACATACATATTCAAGTACACACTGTGTTGTTTGAACTCAAATTCAGTTCAGTTCCATAAATTTCAATTCAGTTTTGTATAGCCCTACCCTAAATCACAAGGGAGTGGGATGACCAATGTTGAAAAATGTTTATAAATGTTCATTACAGCTCCAAACGTGGTTCTGTGTGGGGTCTGTGAGTTCTCCCCGTGTTTGTGTAGGTTTCCTCCAGGTGCTCCGGTTTCCCCTACCACTAAAAAACATGAACAATAGGTCCAGCCTGCGCTTCCTGAGTTCTCAAAAATCATCACATTGAGTAATAAGGGACTATAACAGTGCTATTATAATGATGTAATCCAGTTTTTACAAATTAGTATATAATATCTGCGTACAATTGCAAACAAAAGTGTCTATGAACTCACGGACCTTCTTAGATGTACCCCAATTCTATTCAAAGACACACACAATTGTTCATTTATGTCTTGTGTACTATTTGCGTGTGTCTATAAGTACATTCGTAGGAGCTAAAGAAAGCCTTTGGATCAATAATGTATAGGCTGGTTGATAATGGCAACGCTACACTGCCAAACATGATCAAAAATGAGGTAATAAATGCTTGAATTGCGTAGTTTTTGTCGTAATTTGAGCACATTCTGACTGTGTTAAAACAAGATTTGCCAATGGGACAAAGCCATTTAGTCTTTTCAAAAACTATTGCTTTATTTTGTCAGTCCAAGAGAGACAATGTTGTGTTTCTTTTCAAAAACAAGATAATTTTGCTTTGTCCCAGTGGAAAATCTTGTTTTTATTTTATTTATTTAACCTCTTTTTAACCAGGAAAGTCCCATTGAAGTTATTAAGAACCTCTTTTTCAAGGGAGTCCAGGAAGTGAGACTGTTTTAAAACCGTTTAATGGTTTCCTCAACCTTTTGGTGGATCACTTCTTTGAGTCACTTATATCTACTTGGAACTGAAATCTACATCTTTGGGACAATCTCACTTGTCTTTATGCACTAGGGGTAAAAAAACCAAAAACATAAAACAGGAAAGTCTAACATTCTACAACATGTATGGACATTTATCAACATGTGTTCTATATTCTTTTTGTGTTTTAACTGTTGATTCTCTGATCTGTGTCGGTGATTTCAATGGTTTTGTTAAGTCTCTGAGATTACTTCTGTTGTGATTTAGGGCTTTACAAGAATAATTTGTATTGTAATCAGTGGTCCTACACCTTAAAAAGTCCAAAAAAAGAAGAAAACATATTTCTCTCTTCAAGGACTGAACATTAAAGGGTTAAGGCAAGTCAGTGTGTCTAGATTAAGATGCATTTTGCCAAATTTTACACATTTTTGACTATTTTTCACGCCTTTTTGCAGTGTTTTGTGTACGGGATCTGTCTTTTATATTTAAAGGTTCGCACAGGGAAGAGATTTTGAAACTTGGGCAAAGACTTTTCTATAAAAAGGAAATTCATTCATAAATAATTTCATTGACAATATACTGGTATCCTCTTTGATGGCACCAACCTGGCAACTTATATATAGTGTTGTGTTTGTTTTTGTCTATTTGTGTTGCTTGTCACAATCAAAATAGCCTTAAGAGATGCTTCCCGGGTTCAATGTCGTCTTGGGAATTCTATTTTTATCAAGCACTCAGCTCTTTGTTTGAGTGAAACCTCTTAGAGTCCCGGTGCATTGTGGGAGTGCAGGAGTATTTCAGAGGGCAGCCACGTGCACTGTTGCCAAGTTGTTTTTTTTTGTTCTTTTTTTTTTTTTTTTAAGGATGAATATTGATGCCAGAAGAGCTGCGTGATAAATCGCATGTGAGCAATTAGCTAAAATGGATTCATAACTTCTTTAACAAACAGGAAATGATCTCACACCTGCAAAAAGTGATGAAAATAAGCAAAACGTGTCGAAAAATGACTAAACGGCAGAATCTACTAAAAATAAGATTAAAAAACACTTGATTTTATGCAATTATTACCTCATATTGTATCATTTTTGAGAAGCCTGTCTCGCATTTTCAGATTCAGATCCGCTTAATTTGCCTTTTGCAGTAAAACAGGAAATGATCTAGTTGCATGTTTTGAAAAAAAGGACCCAAAAATGCGGGAACGCAACAACAACAAAAGATTTAATGATGATAAAATAAAAGACCAGGGTGAAAACGAAAATCCCCCCAAAAAAAAAATTCCAACCCAGAAATTGGGACCCGGGAAAACAGACAAACATAGACAGACTATGGGTCTATTATAATAACTGGATAAGGTATTACTAGCTTGGAGCTGAAGAACCCACGTGCTCGGGGGATTCTCGCGGTACTGCAGACTAGTAAGTAAGTAGTAAGTAGTGTTTATTTATATACCGCCTTTCACACACCAGAGTCACAAAGCGGTTTACAGTTGTTATTTTTTTGGCACTTGAGAGTGAGGTCACCAGTACAGGAGGTGCATGCCAGACCTATTGTACATATTTTTAGTGGTAGGGGAAACCGGAGTACCCGGAAGAAACCTACGCAGACACGGGGAGAACATGCAAACTCCACTCAGACAGGCCCTGTATTCGAACCCAGGACCTTCTTGTTGAGAGGCGAGAGTGCTATCCACTCAGCCACCGTGACTAACCCGGACTAAATTCACGCGGGCTACCCAGAAACTTTCCCCATAGAACTCAATGTAAATTAAAACAGCGCGACCTCAGCTGACAGAGAACCTACAGCTTTCATAAAGGTCGGATTTTGTGGGGATTTTAGTGTCTCTTGTCATCCTGAACTTTTTTTCTTCTTAAATCCTTCGGTTTTCTTTAAATCCACACTTTAGTGCCACAAACTCCGCTCGTTCGGCTCTATCTCCCGCTCTACCGCTGCACTGAACAGCAGCTCTGATTGGTCAAAGCGCTGCCGTGCCCCTCTGTGTATTTGGCGCAATGCATCATGGGAGTTCATCCACTGCGCAGAACCGGGAGGACCAGACGATGCCCAAATATAGCGGGTGATATGGCGAGTTCTGCTAATATGTCAACGACCGTGCACAAACCATTCATTTGGATCTGGTGCCATCTTGGATCTCCGGGGCTTGAGACAGACACACTGCAAAGAATTATGAAATATATGGTAATAATTGCTTGAATTTAGTGTATTTTCTCCCATTTTGAGTAAATTCTGACTGTCTTAAAACAAGATTCTGCTTCATTTTCTAATTCCAAGAGAGACATTTCTTGACTCTTTTTAAAACAAGATCATTTTGCGTGTCCCATTGGCAAATTCTGGATTTTAGGCAGTCTGAATGTGCTGAAAATTAAGATACATTTAGACAAACTTGAACAATTTTTGACTTATTTTTTTCCATCACTTTTTGTAACGCAAAGACAATGAGCCCATCAACAAATGGGGAAGAGCCCAGGTACAGATCGACACAGAGAGACACAGACGGTCAAACATGGAGACAGGACAGGAAGTAAAACTAAACTAAAACAAAACCACAGAGAACTGAAGTAAAGCACTATGACTGTGTTTAGAGCTCAGGGACAGACATAACAATACATAATAATAATAATAATACATCCTTTCCAAGTCAAGGACGCGTCACCATTCAGGACACACACACACAC